CGCGAAGTGAGAACAAAGATTTGTTAATCAAATACAGCGCGCTGACCAAGTTCCAGTTTCGCCATGCCGGCCCTCCGCAAGTCTGCCCGGGAGCGCGACTTTCGATCGCAACCAAGGTCCAGCACCACACCCTACGCCTCACCTACTGGCACAACAAACGATCACATCTACGACAAGAAGCAGCGCTCAATCACCGAGTGGACTGAGCCCCAACCCCAAACTCTTGCGCCCTCTTTTGAAGAGCACGGTTTTGCGCGGCACGGCGTCCTGGAGAATATGGCCCCCCTCGGCGTGCCCCCAAAGGCAAAGGACAAGCAGCGCGCGCGCGCTCTCGATGGACCGGCTCCTCGGAATTCATTGCTGGGAAAAGTGAATATTGCGTTTGGCGACGACGCTGGGTCGACTCCAGAAGTTACTCCGGCTCCCGAACTTGAGCCTGATGATTCAGAGCGGCAGGAAGAGTACGAGATACAGGCCGGATTTCCTGTTCTCGAGGATGAAGAGGATGATGACTACGAGCCTACCAAGCCGAAGAAGAAGGTGAAGGTGTCGAAAACTCCAGTCAGGGGCAAGACGCCCGTGCAAAGCAAGACGCCCGTCAACGGCAAAACGCCTGTAAAGAACTGTTACAGCAAGAGCACGCCCGTCTCAGGGAGCCCAGCCGTACAGGCGATTTCCATGTCCGAGCCTGTTGCAGCGAGCACACAGCGCATCCAGATCGCTGTCAACGATGCCATTTCAAAGGCTAACAGCAGCAAGGGCAGGCGTTATGTAGGCATCGCCTTGAAGCGCGCCTTTGAACAGAGCAAAAGTGACCCAGAACTAGCCGAGGCCCTAGATGCAGTAATTCACGAGAGGAGCACGCCCAAGCAATATAACCGTTTTCGCAAGTTCATCAAGTCATTCAAGCTTGAAGAAAAAATGAAAATGGGCCTCACTAGAGACAGACGCTTTGACCAGCCCAACACTGCCAACAACGGTGTTTCATTATCCAGCCAGCCGCCATCCCCTAGGGCTAGCAGTGAAGTTGTTCCCGATGATTCTGTCTCAACCACTGAGTCGATACTGAACGACACGCACAAGGCATTGCAGTCAGCACTGGACCCACATTCTGAAGCTGCGCCCCACCCATTCAGCACAGCGCCTGCTCTGCCAGCAGCAGATACCTCTGCAGAATCAACACCAAGGATGCCTTCAAAGTCACCTCGGAAACGAGCTGCTACTAACGGAAAATCTGCGCCAGATCCTGCTATGGAAGTGGATGGTGGTCTCTCGACGACTGTGCCTACTCCGGCAGCAAGGACGCCCGACACTGGTGCAAGCGATTCTGAGCTCTCAGAGGTCAATGAAGAGATAGTGCTGAAGGGCCCACCAGAGCCGGTGCAGGTCAATGGAAAGAGTGCTGCCGCAGCACCAGCCTCAGGACCAAAGAAAGGGAAGAACATTGCCCATGCACGCGCTGCTAAGAAGGCGAAAGCCAACGCGGGAAAACTCTTTGGCAAGCATGCCTACAAGCAGCAGCCACTTACCGCAGAGCAGCAGGCGGAAGACGACCGTCTCTATCAGATGCGCAAATCTATGGTGGAGGAACAGCCTATCCGCCAGTTCGATCAAATCCCACCTCCAGTCTCTGATGTCCGCTTTGATGACGAAATCCTTGAGACGGAGTCTCTAACAGAATCTCAGATTGCTGTAGGGCCACCGGTAGACTCTGATCAACCACGGCGCCCTGGACGAGCGCCAAACCACGGCACCAAGCGTCTGCGAGATGATCCGTTACGATTTTCCTCGCCTCAATCTGAGCCAGCTACAGTGACACGGCCTTCAACACCAGCAGTCGGACCGGCGCCCAAGCGGGTCAAACTCACCAACGGTCAGGGTGCCAGAACTAAGCGATCGTAAGTGTTTCCTTTCTTTCTTGCAGCATCGCTCTCAAGCCCTTAGGGGCATAGGCCGATGTCTGTACCCATGTCAGCGCAGTACTCTTAGCGTCGAGTAGGCAAGCTTTACGTGTTTGCATCAAACAATACCGTTGATCCTATCGAATCACCAGAAGACTAACTATTGTACACACAGGCCAGTCAAAAACCGAGATGCAGGACCTATTGCTGGTGTAGCGTTTACTGGTGGTGGCGGTTCGAGACAGCTGGGGCCTGATGACAATGACCCCGTAAGTGCCACTCAAAATCCCGCAGCATCCAACCACACCATTCCTCTTCCACCGCACAACTCATCAACACCATTTTCTTTTTTCATCTCCCAACACCAATGTTTCTCACTACGAACATAACCCCTCCTAAATTTCCATATTCTCCTCCACTCTCAGTTTTATCTTCACCTCTAACGGAATGCCAGAACTCGCCGCAGTCGGAGAGCGACGACTTCTGCTCTGCGTGTAGAGGTGCTGGCGAGTTCGTCTGCTGCGAAAACTGCCCACGCGTTTTCCACTTGCTATGCTGCGATCCACCGAGGACACAGGTACCTGACGGTGCCTTCTACTGCTACGAATGTAATGCCAAGTTTGGTGCACCCGATGACTCCGAAGAAACTCATCCCAGCTTGGGACCGCTCTTCGAGAAGCTGGAGCGCACCAACCCTCGTGCCTTTGCCTTGCCGCAAGACATCCAAAACAATTTCGAGGGTGTTTCTGCGCGTCCTGATGGATCTTACTTTGAGGAAATCAAGAAGTTCCCTCTGTGAGTGTGACGCGTTCCATCGCGTGATTTGTCACTAACAATGAAAATAGGGCGAAGAACAGTGGATATGGCTACCAGAAGCCAGAATACACCAAGGTCATCGACAACGATCAAAAAGTCATCTTGTGTGCCCAGTGTGGGTTATCGAGCGGCAACAAGCGCCAAATGCTGAAGTGTGACTTTTGTCACGCATACTGGCACTTGGACTGCTGTGACCCTCCACTCGCTAATCCGCCACACATCAGCTTTGATGCATCTCAGCGCGATGCCTGGAAATGTCCCCGACATATTGATCACGATCTTCGTAGTGGTTTGTTGGTGCAGAACGATTTGAGCGCTGATGACCACGATGTTGAGATGGGCAACACTGCGCCGTTTGTCCGGATCACGCGCAGAGTTCGAGTGCGCAAACAGTCTGAGTACGTTGAGCCAACGTTCTCACGCGGCATGCGCAACAACGGTTTGATCGAAATCACTAATGATCCGGATGATGACACTGATGGCGAAGGCAACTACGTGTTCGGCGATAATGACTCGAAAGATCTCAGCTCAAAGATCTTCCGTGTGCCAGAGAAGGGGGTCGTCCTCGACTTCATCAGCAAAGTCAAGAGGTATGTACATTCTCATCTTCACGATATTATAGCAGGCACTAATACATCTTGCAGTGGTCGTGTGATGAAGAACTATGGAGCACCAAAGGCTATGGAGGCTGCAGCACAACGCAATGCGCCTATGCAAAACTACCTTGCACATTCTATCGAGCAACAGCAAGCAGCACTCGCCCTAGCTCAGCTGGCAGGAAAAGAACCCGAGGTCGACTTGACCGAGGGCAAAGTTCAGGCGCTCATCTACAGTCTCACCGTAAGACTTCTCCCTGCGCCCCACATGCCTTGTTTTGTGATCAATGGCGCTAACTCACGTGAAACAGTCCGAAGCTCCTCCGAACGTCATCACAGCCATGGCCAACGCAGACCCGCCACCGCCTTCAGAGCAAGAGCGTGCTCAGCTGGAGATGCTTCAGCATCTCATCCAGCGCCGACTTGGAGCTTGAGTGCTGCTTCAACAACAGCGGTTTCCAAACTTATCCGGTCTAGTTGTAGTGACACCGCCAAGCAACCCTGGATACGAACCACGCCATGTACACCATCCAGAACTCTTATCTATCTACTGTCATCTCAGATGTCCTTGTCAAGGTAGCGTATCGTTAACAGATTGGCTGTGGCGAGGCGTCACTCTGCTTAGCCTTATTTGCCTGACTTGGAAATTCGAACACGACGCCCTGTTCGTCCAATGGACGCGCGGCACGGTCCTCGTTCGACACGTCAACACCTCTCGTCCCTTTGGAACAGAAAAAAGCTCTTTGTTTGCCTTGCGTATGTTTTCCTCAACTTGGGTCGGCTCTTTTTTTCTTCTCTCTCTCTCTCTCTCTGCTACAGTACCATGATATGCGCAACTTAGCGCTTTACTTTTCCCATACGGATTTTTCCCGGTACAAACAGCTCACCCAACTGCTTAGAGCCTAACAACTTTTTCGCAGAACGGGGGTGCTTTTGAACGCTGTACCACAAATGCATAGCGTAGGAGTTTTGATTCGGGAGGAAGGAGGCCAATGTTTTTTTTGGATATATCTTTAGTCTATTTGGGGAAGGGAGTGAGTGAAGGGAGATGGGGTTTTTGTGCTCTGTCACTTCCTTTTCTTTCTCTCTCTCTCTCTCTCTCTCTCTCTCTCTCTCTACACCTCCCTAGTTTTCTGTCTGGCGTTTAGCTCTACCGAGCAAAGCAAGTTGGGAGAGGGACTGCCGGTAATAGGCAACTACTGCTTTTACTCTACTTGCGAGGCTTGAATATCAAACTTCGTCTTTTCTTTTGGCGGGGGAGGAGGCGAGGACGAGGACGAGGAGGACGGGAAGGAGACACACTGATGGATATCTTAGAAAAGGGTTACTTAGGCTTTTCTTATGAACTGGTGCTGCGAATGGCAGAATGGGTCAATCCTGGACCGTTACATACATACACATGTGCTTCGTGTCCCCCAACTTGATTGCATGTTATGTGGTGTTATCGTCATTGCCCGTGATGAGGCTTTTCGACTGCCGATCAGGGGTGGTCAAGAAAAAAAGGTGGGCCGTCCGACGGGGTTCACTGGGTTCACGGCAAGCCTGACACGTTGCATGCATCCCGTGACACTACGGGGCGTGGAAAAGGGGGTGGGAGAAGCACATGAACACGATTGGTGACTTTAGGCATCCATGAAGATGGAATCAACAAGAACCAAAGAACATGTACTATGCTGAACAAGTTGACTGGGTGCTATAATTCAACTATATGATTCGTCCACCGCAGCTGCCTAGTGTGAAGTGAGACAAGGGCTTTGCTAGCAAGAAAAGGCAACAGAAAGCTTGGGATTGCTGCAAATCAAATCACACCACTCGACCCTTTTTGACTGGGACCCTAAAATTCTTGGCATAGGAATCAGGCAGGTACGTAAGAAGTTCAATGGAAAGAGAGAGAAAAACTTGATAACAAAAGATGGCTTAAGGCTTGCAGCGGCCGAAGTAGCGTGGGTACAGGCAGCAGTCGCGCACAGTGTGCTGCTTGCATAGCCAGGCGAGGAAGCGCTCGAGACCGAGACCGTAGCCACCGTGGGGAGAAGAGCCGTACCTGGGTGGAAGAAGTTGTTAGTAAAAATACTATATGGCTCGAACAGATGCAAAACTTACTTCCTCTGGTCAGTGTACCAGTAGTATGCCGCAGGATCAATCTGCTCCCTGGCGAACGCAGCCATCAACTCATCGTAGTTGTCCATCCTCATGCTGCCTCCGACAATCTCACCAACACCGGGCATCAGGCAATCCACACTCTCTGTTACCCTTGGGTCTTCCTTGTCCTTCAGCATGTAGAAGGCCTTGATCTCAGTAGGGAAATGTGTGAGGAAGATGGGTCTGTTGATGATATCTGTCATCCTACGCTCTGCAGCTTCGGCAATATCGTCGCCAAACTTGTGGGGCTCGCCATCTTCGTTGGGGATGTTGTGCTCAACGAGCCAATCGATGGCTTCTTGGTACTTCATGCGCTTGAATGGGCGCTCGGGAACCTTGAACTCGGGGTTGAGGTCCATGATGTATTGATTGACGACGGGATCAGCCATTGTGACGTCCAGAACACGGCACATAACCTCCTCGAGATGGGTGAGCAGGTCGTCAAAGTTGATGTAGTCGAGTTCGGCCTCAATATGTGTGTACTCGGCCAAATGACGACGGGTCAATGACTTTTCAGCACGGAAGGACTTTTCGATGCAGTATACGTCTCCCATTGATGGCAAACATGTCTCAAGATATAGCTGAGAAGACTGTGTAAGGTAGGCCTCCTCGTTGTAGTAGCCGAACTTGAAGAGCGTGGCACCGCCCTCGACCTGAGTTTGGACAAGCGCTGGCGGGCTGACCTTGCGTAGTCGGAGTTCTTTGTAGACCTGGTTGAATGCAAACTCAACGGCATCACGGACGATCATGACCTTGGATGCAGTCTCTCCACGTAGAGTGAGATGTCGCAGATCCAGCAAGGTCGCGTGCTCAGTGTCCTTTGATACCCTGTTGGTAATGGCATCGTCGCCACCAGCTGCCTTCCAGCCATCATGAATTTTGTAGTAGTCGGCGTGCAGTTCGCGGTTGTTGGGAGCGTGGGCACCAGCGGGGATTTGCCTCAACTCTCCAAGAATCTCCATGCTGGTTTCGCGGGTCAAGGTAAGGGCATCGTAGGTCTTTGCAAGGTTACCAGTGAAAATGACCTGCATGTAGCCGTAACCATCTCTTAAGGTGACGAACATGACATCCTTTTGTCTTCGCTCACGGTGGACGCGACCAAACACTCGTACTCGTGTACCCTTTGTATCCTTGCCGTCTCCTAGCGTGATCTTCTTTGGGTCGGTGTCGTCGAGCTTGATCTTGATCGCCTCTGGGAGACTTTTGTCCTCTTCTATGACGACCTTCTTGGCCTCGTCAAGGACCTTGTTGCGGTCTGCCTCCTCCTTCAAGCGCTGTGCAAGCTGTCCCTGTTCCTTCTCGGCCTTCTTCTTCTGCGCCTTTGCATAGTTGACCGCCTTCTTCATAGCCGACTTGGCAACCTCCTTCCACTCTAACCTCGAGGATGCATCTGCACCCTCTGCAACTTCTCCAGTAACACTCTTCCGGGTAAGGAACTTGGGAGTCTCGCCGCGAGTCAGGACAGCGTACCCGAGGGACTTGTAGGGCGATGACTCGTCGCCCGTCTGTTCTGCGATATCCTGACCGACATCCTCGTCGATGTAGTAGGTAGGCTGGGCCATGGTGGCGGCAATTGGTGTGCAGACGTCTTTTGGGGGTGTTGCGCAGATTATCTGCTGTTGTCGGAATTATATTGAGTGGGCGCGGGGTGACTCAAATGGACCCCTCCACAGGCTCCGTGCACAGTCTAGGTACGTGAAGCACTATATGTGTCGATAAGGCCAATTACTCAATTTCCCTTATCAATCAAGGCTCGTGCTGACAGACTAGGATAATACATTGTGTTTTATATGCGCACTTGATTGCTTTTTGTAAAAAGATACCTGTTTTGAGTTGACCTGAGAGGTGCGTCTTGTTGACTTTAGCTGCATGGCCACACCGTTTGATGACGACGGTCTTCCAAGGACTAGAGTTCGGATGCTTGAAAAATAAATTTCATTTAATTCGCAACATGAAAATAGCCTGTGACCATTGTTAAGTAGACATCTGAGCCCTATCTCCATGGTACGAAAGGCGGTTCTAGTTCCGCGCTGACAAACAAGACAATTGGCTCGGTAACTGAACAGCACTAGATGAAGGGACATAAAAACTACAATGTAACATACAGCCGGTATCATTCAATCCAAACAAAAACAATCTCTTTCTGACTACATAACATAACAATGGCTGACCCTAGTTTATACAAATACGAATCCCCTCTTAAAGGCTACGAAAACTGTAAGCTATTACCCGAGTAAGTTATATCTTCCATATTATTAGTGTTTACGATTCCAAATCTTGGGGTACGAATGCGATTGGAAAACGCTGATATAATCACAGCGAAAAAGCCGAGGATGGGAAATCCTACGTAAACCCACCAGCTAATAAGGCAAGCGATGCCTACAATTCATTCGTAGCCCCTATTACGAATGGCATCCGTGGAGGGTTTGAGTGAGTACGACTAGCTCAAATAATCTGCGAAACAATCACTGATGTTTTCAGTGTTCACATCTACTATCTTCAGAGTGACGAGGAAGAAACAAAGTTTGCCAATGAGCTCTGGGAGCGTATACGTCGCGAGTGTATGGTAACATCCTCCCTTAATCCAGTTGTTTCTAACGAAGACAGTCCCTGAGTTACGCATATACCGAGTGTGGGATCGACCAATTGGACCTCATCCTCTTGCAATGTTCGAGGTTAACATTTTCACTCCACGTAAGTAATGGCTTGTTGGATTAGAAGTTGGAGCCTTCACTAACGATTATTAGAGCAATTTGGTGCATTTATTCCTTGGCTAGTAATTAACAGAGGTCCACTTTCAGCACTGATTCATCCGAATACTGATGAGGAAGAGAGGGACCATACACAACGCGCAACATGGATGGGACAGCCGCTACCTCTCAACTTGAAAATGTTCAAGAAGAGAGCAGCATCGAAGGTGTAGTTTTCTTTGATTCAGTGAGGACGTGTGAGGCAAGAAGGCGCGTGCTTGAAGTGTAATGTAACTTGTTGAGATTACGTCTGCGACAGACGCGATAGATTGGCGCCTTAAGCAATTCCTGTTACGGACCATACTTGGATACACATTCTCTCTCAAACCCGTAGCTTGGATGTCTGTCGAACAGCTCTTCGTCTGGCGTCTTTCGAATCATTGATGATGCCCGTCTCCACGTCTGGCCTCAATGATGACGCTGTTTATGAACATGTTGAACCAAATTCTTGTGGTGCATGAGCAACCAAGAAATTATCGCACTTATGCCTTCGTCTCTACCTTCTTCTTTTTCTTGGTCTTCTTCGCCTTCTTCTTGTCTCGCTTCTTCAATCCACTCATGCCTGCCTTGCATGCCTCAGCATATCGCGCATAGAATCCGTCCAAGTCTTCCGGTTTTACTACTGTGCTCAACTCTATTTTGTCGACGTTTTTCCTGTCTGTTCCTGCTTTCTTGTCGCTCTTGTTGTTGTGCGCGCGGATCAAAACAGGCAGCAAATCTTCAGGATGGGTGTCCCATAATGGATCATCGGCGACCTTGTTGGCTGGAGGTGGGGTGGCAGTGGTACCGAATGTCATGCGCTTCTGTACAAGGTAGACGCTGCCGTGGCCTTTTGTTCGTGTGTATTCGAAGAGGTTGGCGAGTTTTGCAAAGAACTGAGCAAGTGTTAGAACACAGAAGATGATTGCATGCATATAATATCCCATACCTCATCGTTGCTCAAATGTTCTCGCCCCATTGTGAATGTTGTGTGCTATATTAGTCGCGCCATGAAGGTGGTAGGTTGCATAGTGGGATGCCTGCCGTCAGTGCGAGGCGGAGACGCGGGGAAATCTCACCTAAACTCCGACCCTCGAACTTTTTTGCGACAACCAACCGCCTCAGACAACACAACATGCGCAGAACCTTCGGAGGGCCGAAATTGCCCGTAGAGCTACGGAATCAACTTGGAGGTAACACTAGATGGTAGCTGGTCATATTTTCAGTACTAAACAATTGCAGATCCGGCGAACAACAAGCAGCGCAAAGGACCGCGTAATGGGCCACTAAATCGCAAAGACAGGCGCAAAGCCGATCGCGTAGAGAAAAAGCGACAGAACAAGCAGGGCAGGAAGCCTGCGCCAACACATCCACATAATGGCCGAGGACCGCATCGTGAAGCCGAATCGGAAGATGAGGACGATGAAGAGGAGATAGATTGGGACAACATCGAATCAGACGCCACACCACCACCGGTAGAGAAGAAGGAGCTGCAAAAGCCTTTGAAAGGCATACTCAAGACAAAGCCCTCGAAGCTAGAGGAAGCATCACCTCCGCCCGCTAAAGTATCACGCGCCACAAGAGATAGACTAGCCCAGGACGATGCCGAAATTGCTGCACTAGAAAAAAGATTAGGCGTGAAGGGCAAGAAGAAATCCAAAAGAGAAAATGACGGTCTCGATGACCTGTTTGAGGGCCTTGGAGATCTCGGAGACTTTAGCGACGAAGAGGGTGCTCAGCCATCAAAGCGTAAGAGGGATGAAGATGACGACTGGCTTGCAAGTAAGAGGCGGAAGGCCCTAGGCCAGGAACCGGAAGAAGAAGAAGAAGAAGAAGACAACTCAGAAGCGTTTGATTCTGACGAAGACTTGGACCTAGAAGAGGCAGACTTTGATGACGAAGACGAGACAGACTACGACGAGGAAAGTGATTTGGGCTCCGAGGACGACAACGTCGAAGAGGCTGAGCCAGAACAACCGAAGAAACGAGAAAATCCATATGTTGCTCCTGTAGCACCGGATGCCCAGCCGACGAAATATATACCACCTGCGCTCAGAGCACCACCTTCATCGGATTCAGAGGCTTTGCTACGTCTTCGAAGGCAGGTACAAGGTCTTTTCAACCGTCTTTCAGAAGCCAACATACTCTCCGTCTTACGCGAAATCGAGACTATCTACCAGAACAACCCTCGCGGATACGTCAACAACACACTGGTCGATCTATTGATTGGAATGCTATCAGATCCCACCACTCTCCTGGATACTTTCTTGAACTTGCACGCCGGTTTTATCGCTGCGATCTACAAAATTATTGGACCAGACTTTGGCGCACAGATGGTAGAGCGGATTGTTGCTGAAGTTGACAGACACTATCAGGCGAATAAAGACGGTTCCGGAAAACAGACATCAAATCTTATATCCGTGGTAGCAGAGCTGTATACGTTCCAAGTCATTGGCAGTAATATTGTCTTCGACTACATTCGATTCTTTCTCGACGAGCTTACCGAAATCAACACCGAACTGCTGTTGAGAATAGTCCGGGCATCTGGTCCACAGCTACGCCAAGACGACCCGACCTCTCTCAAGGACATTGTTGTTCTTCTCCAGAAGTCTGTTGCCAAGGTTGGCCAAAACAACTTGCCGGTCCGCACCAAATTCATGATTGAAACAATCAACGACCTCAAGAACAACAAGATGAAGACTGGTATCGCTTCCTCAGCAATTTCGAGAGAGCATACAATCCGGATGAAGAAGCAGCTTGGTACGCTGAACTCACGGAATCTCAAGGCGACCGAACCACTACGGGTTGGTCTGAAGGATATCAGAGATACTGAGAAGAGAGGCAAGTGGTGGCTTGTCGGAGCGAGTTGGCGCAATCAACCAGGAAACGAGGAGCCGGCCGAGGATAACAGAAAAACTGAACAGACCACGACACATATCAATGACGATGGCGACGACAGTGAAGTTGATCTTGTGCAGCTTGCTCGCGAGCACCGTATGAACACAGACATTCGGCGGGCCATATTCATCTCTATAATGTCTGCCAGCGACTTCAAGGATGCACAAATACGATTGAACAAGCTCAATCTCAAAAAGTCTCAAGAAGCAGAGATACCACGAGTCATTGTTCATTGTGCGGGCGCTGAGAAGACCTACAACCCTTACTACACTGTACTTGCGCGCAAAATTTGCTCCGATCACAAGACCCGCAAGAGCTTTCAGTTCGCGCTTTGGGATATTTTCAAGAGTTTAGGGGAAAAGCAAGATGGCGCGGACGACTCTGACGATGATGATGACGAAACGGACGCTGACACATCCCTTCGAAAGCTTGTCAATCAAGGCAAGCTGTATGGCACACTGATTGGCTGCAAAGCCATGCCAATTACCAGTCTCAAGAACCTCAACTTCCCCTACTTGCAGCCGAAAACCAAGACTTTTGTTGAAGTCTTACTTGTTACTACTATTCTAGAGGCATTGAAGACATCCAAGACAAAAGACAAGCGTGACGAACGGGCTGTCCGAGAGGTATTTGTAGAGGTAGATCAAGCACCAGAAATGATTGCTGGTTTGCAATTCTTCTTGAAGAAGACAGTTAGCAAGACGGAGATTGTTGAGGAAGCGGAGAAGGAAACAGTGCGGTGGGCGTGCAAGTCCGTCATGGACATGCTGACTAGAGTGTTGGCTACTACCACATTGGCGGAAGACTGAGCGTTTGACTAGAGTAACCTTCTATTGTATGTTTAATAATAGAGTTATAAAAGAACCAATGCAGTATGGTGCTGGGAGGCGATGTTGAACATGAGGCACTTTGTCATCTTGGCGCCACCCTTGACCCTACGGAAGCCGCATAGGCCTTCCCAGCCGAGCTCCGCAAAAAGCTCAACCACATCTGCCATCCCACGCCCCATCCATTGACGCCTGTCATCCCAGCCGTATACCTCACGGCTTCTTTTGGTTGTGTTTCCTCCGGCCATCTTCACCATGTTCCGCTCACTGGCACCCCGCGCCGCTCAACGGGCGTCGCGACCCGTCACCCGAAGCACATTCTGCGCATCCAACATTTACTTCCAGAACCGGTTACGACGTGGATATGCGTCGGAAGCTGGTGAGTCGCATTACTGCGCGGAATTGGCTTGGTGCATCTGCTGACCGCTGGACAGAGGAGAAGGACCTAGTCATCATCGGCGGTGGTGTTGCGGGATATGTCGCAGCTATCAAGGCTGGACAGGCGGGCATGAAGGTTAGCAAGACACATCCGGACAATGGCAAGATCACAAGGTTGACACAAGCGGACAGGTCACCTGCATCGAAAAGCGTGGCTCCCTGGGTGGAACTTGCTTGAACGTCGGCTGCATCCCCTCCAAGTCCCTCCTCAACAACTCGCATCTCTACCACCAGATCCTCCACGACACCAAGGGCCGCGGAATCGAGGTCGGCGATGTCAAGCTCAACCTCCCCGCCATGATGAAGGCTAAGGAGAGCTCCGTTTCCGGTCTCACAAAGGGAATTGAGTTCCTTTTCAAGAAGAACAACGTCGAGTACATCAAGGGTACTGGTGCGTTCCAGGACGAGCACACCATTGCCGTCAACCTTACTGAGGGCGGCGAGACTACTGTCCGTGGAAAGAACATCCTTATTGCCACTGGTTCTGAGGCCACTCCTTTCCCGGGCTTGACTATCGACGAGCAGAAGGTTATTACAAGCACTGGTGCCATTGCGCTACAGGAAGTGCCCAAGAAGATGACCGTTATCGGCGGTGGTATCATCGGACTCGAGATGGTAAGGAAATATTCAGTCGTTCTCTTGGTCGGCTATACTAACCACATGTAGGCCTCCGTTTGGTCGCGTCTTGGCTCTGAGGTTACCGTTGTTGAGTTCTTGGGCCAGATTGGTGGCCCCGGCATGGACAACGAAATCGCGAAGCAGACCCAGAAGATCCTTCAAAAGCAGGGCTTGAAGTTCAAGCTCAACACAAAGGTTACCGCTGGTGAGGTCCACAGCGCTGGTGTCAACGTCAGCGTCGAGGCCGCAAAGGGTGGAAAGGAGGAGACTGTGAGTCGATTTTGAGCAATACTAACTGATTGTATTGCTGACATGCCTAGCTCGATGCGGACTGCGTCCTCGTTGCTATCGGTCGCCGCCCATACACTTCCGGTCTCGGTCTTGACAACATCAGTCTCGAGACCGATGAGAGG